TCTGACGCCGCCTGAACATAGCTCTCCTGAGAAATGGGGAAGGAGAAGGGGCCGCTGTTAATGCAGGCCCAGCACAGAGATGGCCAGAGAGGGTTTGCTGGGGAGCTGCTGGCTCTCAGGGAACTAAGGGCGGGCCCCTCGCTGGGTATGGAAGAACAGATGAGCTCTGGCATTAGGTAAACTTGGGTTTGAATCCAGCTCTGCTACTAACTGCCTGGGCGATTTCAGAGAGTTGCTGAGCCCTCCGAGCCTCGAGTTTGTTTAATCTGCAATATGGGCATGACATGAGCAGCTGACTCACAGTGCTGTTAGTAAGAGGCCGTGGAATAACATAGAAAAAGCCCCCAGTGTGATGCCAGTTCCCATTAGGCTGATTCCCAACTGGAGGAGTTTCTGTCTCCCAGAGGAGTGGGTCAGGCCATGGGTTCAGGAAAGCAGTGGGAGGTGCCCTTCTCCCCCCTGAGGGCTCCAGGGAAAAGAGCTGGGACAATGGAGCTTAAGGGTCTGATGCCCAGCAGGATGGGGGGCTGCCTTCACCCCTGCCTCCCAGCCCTGGCCGTCAGCCTCCCCCGCTGCCCACTCCAGACCGTTTTCAGGCCACAGGCTGCCCGGTTCCGATAGAGTGTGGCCAGCAGGGCCTTGTCCTTAGTCAGCTTCAGGGCCTGGCTGTAGCTCTTGGTTGCGGCCTTGTAGTCCTGGAGCTGGAAATGCCGGTTCCCTTCCTCCTTCAGCTGGACTGCTTCGGCCTCTGCCATCTGTCAGGACAGGGGCAGCTCAGTCTGGCCACCCCTTCACTCCAGACCTCGGGCCAGATTCCCAGCCTGAGGTCTGGGGCTCCAGGGCCACCTCCTACTGGAATGGAAGGGAGGGTTCTGCCTGGAAAGGACCCACTCCATCACCCCCAAGTCCATTGCTCAGGACATTATAGCATCTGCTTGCAGAACAGCATGGCTGAAGGAGTCTTAGAGCCTCAGTGCCTCCCTCTCCCAGTTGGACAGGTGAAGCCACCATGCCGAAGGCCTGAATTCTCACTGCAAGCCTTGAAAGTTCTTCTCAGTCCCTCCTCTCCCTCCCCAGTCTAAGGAACTCTCCAGATGGGCTCACTTTCTCAGAGGACGGTGCTCCTGGTCTGTTTTCCTGTGATGCTGCTCAGCTGAGCTCCCTGTGAAGCCCCCGCCTCCCAGCCACCAAGCCTTAGTCTGCCCCCCTCCCCCACCCAAGAGGTTTTATCACCCCTGCCAGTAGCTCCAGACCATATTTGGCCACAGGGGCAGGTGCCCCTGGAGTCTGTCATTGATACTCAGGGCCCTCCTCCTCCCCAGAGTGGATAGTCATTAGCACGTGAAAGTGCTGACTAACCTCTGTCCCAGTGTCCTGCTCAGGGGCAGTCCTGGACTCGGGCACTCATATCACAAAGAGCGAGAAAGATCCAGAAGGGAGGGAGACACAGCTATAATTCCCCTTCTCCCCCTCCATCCCAGATAAACAATCTCCTCTCCCTTCCCCCAACCACTGCTATTTTGGGAGCAGAGTGACAGCTGAGGGGCTGGCAGACTTGGAGCAGCTGCCCAGGTCCAGGACCAACTGGAGACTTACAGAAATGCCCTTCTGGAAGGAAGGGCCTCTTCCAGTTGCCCACAACTCCCAGACCCCTGCAGCACTCATTGTTGAAATGTCCCTCCTTTTCTGAAAGACAGAGGGGCTTACCAGTTCAAGTTTGGTGTAAGTGGGTGCATTGTTTTGGTTTGCAGGCCTTCTCCTGTGTCCCCCATCCATGTGGAGTGGATGCATTCAACCTACCTCTCCCAGCAGACGGAGGGGGGTGGGCTCTTCATATCCCCCACTAGACTATAGTCTTCTCTTTGAGCAGAGCTAGGTCAGCCTGGAATTTCCTAAGTCCAAGTACTGTACCTCCCATCCACCTGGGAATTTTCCTGAGACAAGCTGAGTCTCTCTCATCATAACAGGGTCTTCTTGGGACAAGAACTATGTTTTTACCACCAAAACAGGTCTCCCCTGGGGCAGGACTTGTTTCTTCCCATCTGACTGAGGGTTCCTGGGACAAATTTGAGTCTGTTCCTACTTGGACTCAGAAATCTCTCACCTCCCAGTGTCTCCAAGCCTAGGCTGTGAGCTCCCTCCCACAGGGCAAAGACAGCATCTCATGCAGTTTGACTTCCCCTGGCACGGGGGCTGGCAGAGTCAGTGCTCAATGCAGGCTTCTTGAATGAATGAATGGAAGGATGGATGGATGGATGGATGAATAGTGTCTTCATGCTGACGCTTTTCTTCATTTACCACCATTCTGCCCCCTCCCCCCATACATATTCAAACCTACCTGACCAGGGAAGAGAAATGCACTGAAGAAAAAGCACAGGTGGGTCACCCACACTAGATTCTGCTCTTTGCTCTGCAACCTTGGCCACACAGCTATGACCCTGGACAGATTCTACTGCCTTGCTGGACCCAAGACCCAGCTCTGATGCATATTTGTCTGTTGCATATTTGTTGACTGAATAAATAAATGAATGAATGGAGGAGGGGATTCCCTGCCATCATGGTGTCCTAAACCCTGAGTTCCTTTGTGGGGCAAGTGCTCTGTAGTAATGAACTAATGTGATAAAGGATCCTGCCACTGACAGAAAACTGAAGTTCTCTGACTTTAGGTCTTAGGAATCTTAGATTCGGATCCTGACTCAGCAATTTACTCCACATCAATTCTTAAGCATTAACTATGTAGCAGGAACCGTGAGTGACAATGGAAGGAGAGACCACTCATGAGGACAAGGATTTGTGTCTATTTTGTTTACTTACATATTTCAAGTGGCTATCACAGTGCGTACATAGTAGGTGCTCAACCATATTTGTTTGAATAAATGGATGAAATAATTCCATGGATCTGTGATTTCTAAATACAAAGAATACCAGGATATTTTGAAAACACATAATAGAGAAACATGGCGTTGTTTTTAAACAAAAGTTTCCTGAGTGAAGGATTAAATGAGTTAATATATGTGGAGTCCCTAGAACAACATCTGGCAGAGACATTTGTTGAATGAATGCATGTAGATTTCAGACAAGACTTGAAGAATGAGGAACTGTCCCTGTCTTCAGCTGCTCAAGCTGCTATAACAAAATATCATAGACAGGAGGCGCCTGGGTGACAGTAAGTTAAGAGCTGACTCTTGATTTTGGCTCAGGTCATGATCTAGAGGTCAAGAGATTGAGTCCTGCATCAGGCTCAGCACTGAGAGTGGAGCCTGCTTGGGATCTCTCCCTCCCTCTCCTTTTGCTCCTCCCCTGCTCTTGCTCTCTCTCTCTCTGTCTCTGTCTCTCTCTCTAATAAATAAACTTTAAAAATACCTCCAATGGGATGGCTTGAATAATTTTTCCACAGTTCTGGAGTCTAGAAGTTTTAAGATCAAGGTGCCATCAACATTGGTTTCTGGTGAGGCTTCTCTTCCTGGCTTGTAGATGTCTACCTTTTCACTGTGTCTTCATATGGCCTCTTCTCCACGTGAAGAGAGGGGAGGGAGGCAAGAGAGAGAGGTAATATCTGGTATCTCTTCCTTCTGAGGACACCCATCCTATCAGACTAGGACCCTACCCTTATGACCTCATTTAACCTTTATTACTCCCATATAGGCCCTATTTCTAAACATAGTCACGTTGGGGATTAGGGCTTCCACATATGAAGGGGGGGGGGGCGGTGGGACACAATTCTGTCCATCAAAGTTCCAGATAGAGAAGTCTGCATGTACAAAGGCACTGATGTAAGAAGGGTCATGCCTTGGAAGAACTAAGCAAAAGTCAGAAGAATTTGATCTTAGAGAGGAGTGGGGTCATCTGGGTGGCTCAGTTGGTTAAGCATCCAACTTCTGCTCAGGTCATGATCTCATAGTTTGTGAGTTCGAGCCCCGCGCTGGCCTCTGTGTTGACAACTCAGAGTCTGGAGCCTGCTTGGAATTCTGTGTCTCCCTCTCTCTCTGCCCCTCCCCCACTTGTTCTCTCTCTGTTTCAAAAATAAATAAACATTAGAAAGAGGGAGAGAGAGAGGAGTGGCTGGAGAGGTAACTAAGGCTGAGTGGACCATCATAAGGAGTTTGATTTTTGTCCCACTTATTATGGGAGACATTGTAGGATTCTAGGGTGGAGTCACAGACCAGGTTTTTGGTTGGAGCTGCAGTGTGGAGGATACATTGGAAGAGGCAAGAGTGGAAACAGAGAGGCAAGTGAAGAGGATTTTGTAGGCAACCATGGTGACTCCGTCCAGAGTGTAATAGTGGAGATGGAAAAAACGGATTCAGGGCAAGTTAAGGAGGCCAGATTGACCAAGCTTGAGACTGTGGGGACATGGGGAGGGCTGCCAGGGAAGATCCCAGGTTTCTGGTAAAAGCCCTCCTGTTAGTTGGTCTGTGCTTCAGTTCCTCATCTGTAATGTGGGGAGAGGAAGGCTTGGAACATTGCCTGACACACTGCTATCATTATCATCATTATTGTTATTGCTTTACAGTGCTGAAAACTGCAGACATTTTTTTGCTTTTGTACTCAAGAATTATGAATTCATTTGGTCCATTTAAAAAAGAGTAATAATTTCTGCCTTCAACCCAACAGGCTCTGGTTTTGAAAGCCACCTATGCAGGGACTCTGCTGCCCAGGGCCAACCCAATTTAGCCTTCTGCCATTTCTGGTCTCTGATTTTGGGGAAAGTCAACCGCTCAGAGCCTCGATTGCCCCACCTATGATGTGGGGCAAAAATCCCTGTTCTACAGAGACAAAAGGCTGTTTGTATAGTGCACAGCACTGGGAGGGACTGAGTGAGGTGACAGCCACCCGTCCAAGGCGAGGCTGCGGAAGCGGTACCCGGCGCGCGAAGCTGGACGCGCACGGCGTGACATTTCCCCTCCGCCACACCAGAGGGCGATGTCGCGGGCTGCAGCGCCGCCGCACCCCGGGAGCGGCGCTCCGTCCTGCCTGAGTCTTTTCCCTCCACGTGGGAACGCGGGATGGCGGCGGCGGCGGTGGGTGTGCGTGAGTGGGAGCGGGGGCGCTCCGGCCCGGGGTCCCCGAGCTCCGAGGGAGGCGGCAGTGGGAGCCTTCCCTCCTCGCGGAGTGGCTGACCTCGCGGCGCTTGTAGGCACAGGACGTGGCGGCGGCGCACGACGTGCAGCGGCTGCTGGTGCAGTTCCAGGATGAGGGCGGGCGGCTGCTGGGCTCCCCGTTCGACGTGCCCGTGGACATCACCCCGGACAAGCTGCAACTCGTGTGCAACGCGCTGCTGGCCCAGGTGAGCGGCGGCTCCCCTCCCCTGGGCGGGAGGCCCTGCTCTGAGCCGGCCCGCAGGGGACCGGGAGACCCCAGGTCTGGCGTTCGGAGGTCCCAGCGATCACTGACACTGGGTGAACCACCCCGGCGCGCGTCCGTGGCAATGCCACCTACGTCCGGGGACGGTCATGAGATATATTCCGTGTGACAGCGCTTTACGCTCCGACCTGCGGGGTCCCCTTGGGAAAAGAGACAGGTTTTGAATGCATTGGGTGCATCGTCAGATTCCTGGACGCAGCTCCACACTTTATTCAGTGTGGCCCAGAGGCAGTAAGTTATTTGTACGGTACTACGCCGTAGGTGGTAGATTTGGAATTAGAATCCAAATGTCAGATTCAAAACCCGTAGTCTAAACCAGTGGGGCCATTCATCATTTGGTGTGGCCAGTGGGGCTGAGGGCTTAAAAATATAATACCTGGGGGGCGCCTGGGTGGCTTAGTCGGTTAAGCGTCCGACTTTCGCTTAGGTCATGATCTCGCAGTTCGTGGGTTCGAGCCCCGCGTTGGGCTCTGTGCTGACTGCCAGCTCAGAGCCTGGAGCCTGTTTCAGCCTGTGACTCNTGGGGCGCCTGGATGGCTCAGTCGGTTAAGCGTCCGACTTTCGCTTAGGTCATGATCTCGCAGTTCGTGGGTTCGAGCCCCGCGTTGGGCTCTGTGCTGACTGCCAGCTCAGAGCCTGGAGCCTGTTTCAGCCTGTGACTCCCTCTCTCTCTGACCCTCCCCTGCTCACGCTGTCTCTCTCTCTCTCCTAAAAATAAATAAAACATTAAAAAAAATAATAATACCTGGGCCCCACCCCAGGTTTACTACATCAGACTCTGGGGTAAAGCAGAGTCTGTATTTTCAACCAGTGTTTTGGATGCATCTTGTACATCATGGTGTGGCAGTTTAGAAAACGCTGCATAGGGACGCCTGGGTGGCTCAGTCAGTTAAGCATCTGACTTCAGCTCAGGTCATGATCTTAGAGCCATGTTGAGCTCTGTGCTGACAGCTCAGAGCTTAGAGCCTGCTTTGGATTCTGTGTCTCCCTCTCTTTCTGTCCCTCCTCTGTTCACGCTCTCTCTGTCTCTCAAAATTAAATAAATACTGAAAAAAAAAGAAAGAAAACACTGCATAATCCTGTATACTGACACTAATTCTGGACTTTAGTTTTCTTTCTGAAGCACTTGAATTAGTTGTTCCCAATAGGACATTGGGTTAATTACTTAGGTGCTCTGAATGTCAGTTTTTTCTTCGACCAAGTGGAAATATTAATGCCTGCCTCCCACGGTTGTTGTGAGATGCAGATAAAGGATTTTAAAGTACTGTCTATCTAAGTACTAAACTTACTGTCCTCTTCGAAGATGAAAAAAGGCCTTGCTTGGTGGGCATGGTGGGGGGGTACCCCACACCCTGGCAGGAAAGAATGAAGCTTTCTGGCCACAGCTCACTCGGGAGCACCCCTCCCTCCTCCTATCCCTTGATGGAGGAGTCGCCCTTTGCCTTTGCCCTCCAGGAGGATCCCCTGCCACTGGCTTTCTTTGTCCACGATGCTGAGATCGTCACGTCACTGGGGAGGACGCTGGAGTCACAGGCAGTGGAGACAGAGAAGGTCCTTGACATCATCTACCAGCCACAGGCTATCTTCAGGGTTCGTGCCGTGACCCGCTGCACCAGCTCTTTGGAAGGTCACAGCGAGGCAGTCATTTCTGTGGCCTTCAGCCCCACAGGAAAGTAAGAACAGTTGCAGAATCGTGGCGTAGAGTATGGGGGTGCAGCCTCTGGCTGGGGTGGATACCCCAAGTGAACAATCAGTGGGGCCTCAGGCTGCCTATCATAGACCTGAGCTCAGAGCCCAGGTTCCAAGTAGAGGACTTCCCCAGTGGTGTTTGATTTTGAAGGACACCCACCTTGTAAGAGCCTTTCTTGGCTTTGATCTCAGGAGAGCTGAGCTGTAGGCCTCCTTGGGTGTGTGCCCCAGACAAGTCACATTCTGACTTAATTCATCATCTGTGAAACTGAGTTTGTTTGCATTTCACAATCCTACATGGATAATGAGAAACTCCAAATCTGATTATAGCTGGGGCCATTCCTTTTAGAAAGGAAGGAGAGAGATATGACTGCCAGCGGGGAGGGGGGGAGGTCTCCTCCCAGGTGCTATCAGTGTCATACTTCTTCTCAGGGGAGAGAGAAAAGTCTGGTCTCAGACTATGCCCAGAAGACAATTGAATAGGCAGCAGAAATGCACATATGCCGTGTTTTGGTGTAGGGCCTACCCTGTGTCCCCACTGCAGAGGTCAGGTGGCCTCTCTTCTTCCCCAGGTACCTGGCCAGTGGCTCCGGAGATACCACTGTGCGCTTCTGGGATCTCAGCACCGAGACACCGCATTTCACATGCCAGGGTCAGTATGCGGTTAGCCGTTTAGAGGGAAGGTCTTAACCCAGTGGTAGGTGGGTGATCATCTACTCAGCTCTTTAGTTTCTGAGGAGGCCCAGAGCTGATTCAACCCCTTAACCCAGTAGGCAGCTGCCTGTTCCTAGGTAGGGACTACCCTTGAGCCCAGTCAGCCACTTCCAAACAAGCAGACACTGGACCAGAGAGGCAATGTAGGGTTGCGAATTGTGCAGAGGCTGGTAGTAAGGAGAACCTGCCTTAAATCCAGCCTGTACCACAGTGGTTCTTAAACTTAAGCATCAGAATCACCAGGAGGCTTGTATAGGTTGCCGCCCCCCACCCCTCAGTGTTTTTGTCTCTTGAGTCCTGGGATGAGGCTTGAGACCACACATTAGCTGGGTGACCTTGTATAGGTAGGGCATGCTCCCTAAGCTTCGGTTTGATCATCTGAAAAATTGGGAGTAATTCTTGCTTTGCTCCATACTGTTGAGCACATTCCAGAGCACATCACACCTAATCACTGGTTTGTGAATGTGTTTTAGTTTCACGGGTACGTAGGAGTATACTAGGTTTCCAGGTAATATGAATTTCTGACTTCTGGTCAAGGTAAAAATAAATAAATAAAAAGGATTTGAAAGCCAAACTTTTGGATTCTCTACTTCATCGGTTTAAAAAAAATGACGTGTGAAAACACTTTATACCACGCATCATGGAGGAATTATTAGAAAGTGGAAGTATTATCTGTGCAGCAAGGTGCATGGCTTTACACTTGGGATGAATTCTGTCTTTGCGTAGAAAGCTTCATCTCTCCTTTTGTTTGATCATTTGTTCAGGGACTAGTTGAGGAGTTCTTGCAGCATGCCAGACGTGCTAGGCACGAAGGTTAAAGACAGACATGTGCTCCCTCCTTTCTCCCTCCCCTGCTTTCCTAGGACACAGACACTGGGTCCTTAGCATATCCTGGTCCCCAGACGGCAAGAAGTTGGCCTCGGGCTGCAAGAACGGCCAGGTAGATGGTGGTCGTCATCTAGGCAATGAGGTTCTGGGGTCTTCAGGGAAAGGTGGATTGGGGGCAGTGGGCGGGGACCTTTGGTGGACCCAGGGACAGGATGGAGAGGGTTATTCAGTAAGCTTCTGTCCCTTAGATTCTCCTGTGGGACCCAAGCACAGGGAAGCAGGTGGGCAGGGCCCTCGCTGGCCACAGCAAGTGGATCACAGGCCTGAGCTGGGAGCCCCTCCACGTGTAAGTGACGCTCACAGAGCTGGGGGACATGAGGAGCCAGGGCTTCAAAGCTGTCCCCTCTTTGCCTGATGCAGAGGGTCTTTGCCTGATGGGGTGGGATGGCCAGCCTGACTGACAGTACTGGCCTGGCGGGCAGTGGGCTAGGTCTTCCAAGCATGTGTTGCTTCTTGACAGGGGGCTGTTCATCATGGGCTCTGAGAGTTGCCTTGCAATCCAGCTGGATCTTGGGTTCAGGGAGCTGTTGAGTCATCGCCCCTGGCCTTTGAGCTGAGAATGGCGGGGGGTGCTATTGCCGTTCCCATGTCAGAAGTGGGGCCACATCTCCCTCCCCGTCTCCAGGAACCCCGAGTGCCGCTACGTGGCCAGCAGCTCCAAGGATGGCAGCGTGCGGGTCTGGGATACAACCGCGGGCCGCTGTGAGCGCATCCTCACTGGGCACACGCAGTCAGTCACCTGTCTCCGGTGGGGAGGGGACGGGCTTCTCTACTCTGCTTCCCAGGACCGCACCATCAAAGTCTGGAGGGCTCATGATGTAAGAGCTGGGAAGGTCTGGAGGGCAGCCTGGGGAAATCTTGGGCCATGAGGTGCCAGGGCTGGAAGGAATGTTGGCCAGTGTGTTCTGGGATCCAGGTGGGAGGAGGTACGTCAGGAGCAGTGAGTCCTGTGGTTGGCGCTACATGATAGTGGAGGTTCCAGCATTCACGAACGTGGTCCCGAAATTCCTGCTGCTAGAAGCCTGTTAGCTTTATTAAACCTGCCGTATCCCAGAGTAACTTGACCAGAGCCCTTTTAGTCTCACATACTTAACTTCTTTCGATGAAACACACTTTCATAAACAATGATCTGGGCCATACTCTCATTTTATAAGCGAGGAGAGACTTCAGTCCAGAGTGGTGATTTGATTAAGATCACAATGAACGAGGGTCCTAATTCTGAGTCCCGTGTCACTGTCTTCCGGGGCTAATCTGGGGGTACCGCTTCCCTAGGGTGGAGAATAGGGTGGCTGTGCATCTGACCTGTCTCCCTCTGCCCTAGGGTGTGCTGTGCCGGACTCTGCAAGGCCACGGCCACTGGGTGAACACCATGGCACTCAGCACTGACTACGCCCTGCGCACAGGCGCCTTCGAGCCAGCTGAGGCCTCAGTTAACGCCCAGGACCTCCAAGGGTCCTGTGAGTGTGTGGGAGAGGGCCACTTGGGAAGGAGCGGGTTCTTGAGCTTACTGTGTGAGGTTGGACCTGGGCTGGGCGGGGGTGTCTGCCATTTGTGTTGGATTTTCTAATCAGCTTCATTCCTCATCTCCTCCTCTCCCCTCTGGTACCTGGCCACAGTGCAGGAGTTGAAGGAGAGGGCTCTGAGCCGATATAGCCTCGTGCGGGTGAGTGTATGCCAGCTACCAGCATGCCCAGCTCCACACTCTTCCTCCACTGGTCCCTGAAACACTCTGCAGGCACTCAGAACCCTCCCCCTTCTAGCCCTAGCTCCTATGTTCCTTTTCCAGAAAGTTCTTCATGGAAATCCTGGTTTACAATCTTAAAATCTTAATGCACAGGGACCATTTTATTGTGTTGTGTTTACTTTCCTGTTGTGTTTTCTCTATTTTTTATTGTATTTAGTTTAAGTAACACATTCGTGTGGTCAAAGGTTCAAAGAACACAAAAAGGTAAATGGTGGAAAAGTTTCCCATTTCTGTTGCCCATCCATCCGTTCCCTCTGGAAGCATCCGGAGCTACTAGTGTCCTGTGTTTTCTTCCAGAGACTTCATACCTCCACATACATATGTATGTGTACACAAAGATGCAATATACGTACACATGTGTACAAACCCACACATAAAATCTTTCCACTTTTTAAATTTTTTTTAATGTTTATTTTTTGAGAGAGAGATCATGAGTGGGGAGGGGGAGAGAGAGACACACACACAGAATCCGAAACATGCTCCACGCTCTGAGTTGTCAGCACAGAGCCTGACACGGGGCTCGAACTCACAAATTGTGAGGTCATGACCTGAGCTGGAGTCGGGTGCTTAACTGACTGAGCCACCCAGGCGCCCCAAATATTTACCCTTTTTAATACACTATTCTGTATCTTGCTTTTTCTTATGGTTATGTGTCTTAGAAATTATTCCATGTGCATAAAATTTCCTTTTGGGGGAAGTGACTGCCAGGGGTCCCACGTGAGTTGGTAGCTGGCCAGGCCTCATTTCTCCTAGTCCTGGCCTCCTTGCTGGTGTTGGGTCATCAGTGGTGCGTTTGCTGCCCAGTTCGGGGTCTCCTGTCTGAGACCATGTCCAACACAGTGTGCTTTCTCCCTCTCCTAGGGCCAGGGCCCAGAGAGGCTGGTGTCTGGCTCAGACGACTTCACCTTATTCCTGTGGTCCCCAGCAGAGGACAAGAAGCCCCTCGCACGGATGACGGGACACCAGGCCCTCATCAACCAGGTGCTCTTCTCCCCTGACTCCCGCATCGTCGCCAGCGCCTCCTTTGACAAGTCCATCAAACTGTGGGACGGCAGGACAGGCAGGTGAGTGGGGGCGTGGGGAGGGAGAGGAGGGGCACCACTCCTCTGGAAGGAGCTCAGCTGTGCCACTTGCTGCGTGGCCTTGGCAAGCCTTTGGATATTCTGAGCCTTTGTTTCCTCTCTTGTATGATGCACACCTACCTCTCAGCTTTGTTACAAGGACTAAGTGAGATGATATATTTAGGACTGGCAAGAAATGTGTACTAAAATGCTAATTCCTTTCATATTGAAGGAGAGAAATCTTAAGATGGCCAGGATTGCAGCGGAAGTGTAGACTTGAGGTGCAGTCATTTTCTGGCCCCCCTCAAAGTGTGGTCCACAGACCAGCAGCTGCAGCATCAGCTAGAAATGCAGAGTCTTGGGCCCCACCCCAGACCTGAAGAATCAGAATCTGCGTTTTAATGAGAGTCATCAGGTGATCCTGCTCCCATTAAAGTCTGAGAAGCAGTGGTATAATGAGGTACTGTGCCTGTGAGGTTAGTCAGGTCAGCAGAGAGGCAAAGGCATGGGCAAGAAGAGAAAGGGGGCAAGGGAAACCCTTGCTGGGGCCTTGCTGTCTCAGCCATTGTGTGTTTCTGTATAGCAGCCTTTGAAATAGGTAGTTCCCTTCTTTTTCAGGATAAGGAAACTGAGTCACAGAGAGGCCTAATGGCTTGTCCAAATAGACCAAGCTCATCTGTAATGAACTGAAAGTTCCAGGTCAGCCTGGCCCACTATTCCATGCCACCTGTCAGCAAACAGCTTGCGTTAGGGGGCTATCAGGCACATGGGCTCCACAGATGACTACAATAGATTCAAAGTCACACAAGATACGGAGGGCACAGGGGCCTCTTCAGACCTAATACCCATCATCACTGTTTCCTGGCCCAGGTACCTGGCTTCACTGCGTGGCCACGTGGCTGCTGTGTACCAGATTGCGTGGTCAGCTGATAGCCGGCTCCTGGTCAGTGGCAGCAGTGACAGCACGCTGAAGGTATGGGATGTGAAGGGCCAGAAGCTGGCTGCTGACCTGCCAGGCCACGCAGATGAGGTATGGCTGGCCCTGTGAGCAGAGAGGTGGGGTGCAGTGGGGCTTGAAGCCTGGCCCTCCTGCCCCCGCCTGCCTTTCTGACCTGCTTCTCCCCGCCCCCACCTCGGTTTAGGTATACGCTGTCGACTGGAGTCCAGATGGCCAGCGAGTGGCAAGTGGTGGGAAGGACAAATGCCTCCGGATGTGAGTTTGGGGGAGGTGGTGGTTGGTGTGCTTGGCTCCCATGCCCTTAAGTCGGTCCCTCCTTGCACCTTTCCCTTCTGGTGTAGAATTCTAAGGGTTCTCCAGGTGCCTAAGATGGGGTGTGGTACCACGTTCTCTTGGTGGTGAAGAGGGAGAACTGCAGAATTACAGGGATTATGGGAGACCCTGACAGTGCTCTCCAGAGGGCGAGTCCAGGGTCCCTCCAGCATGAGGCAGTCGCTCTTAGTACACTGGGTTTTGAAGGCGAGGCAGTCGCTCTTAGCACACTGGGTTTTGAAGGCCTCACACCTAGTTCCGATACTGGCTTTGACTTCCACTCCATGGTTTTGGAGAGCATGGTTCACGTGCTCCCCTCCCCCTCCGGGGAGTTAACAAGCCTCAGGAGACAGGAGGATCAAAGATAGGAGGTGAACACTTGGGAACCCAAAGCGTGTGTACTTGTAAATATTTCATTGTTTATGCTATCAGATGACCTTGGTGGGCATCCGAGTGGCCAGGCCCCGGGACGAGGTCTTGGCTGGGGCAGGCAGTTGGGTGCCCAGCGCAGAGATGGTAGCTAGTCTTTTAATGACCAGGTGAACCACAGGCTCTCCCTGTAGTGGGCTCCTGGGATCATATGGCAATCTCCCCTTCCCAAGATGGGACCCCATGCTATTCCCTCCTCTTCTCCACAGATGGAGGAGATGATAAACTCCTGTTCTCCGTGACTCCCACCTGGACTCAGCTGCTGCCAGCTCCCTGCCCTGACAGAGACCGAAGGCCAGGCTGGTGACCCTGTGAACGAGTGCGGTCTGCTGTCCTTGGACAGACAGTGGGGTCCCCCCACCTCCCAGAGCAGGAGGTCAGAGTCGTGGGAAAACATCACTGGGCGCTCAGCCCTTGGCCATCACTCCATACCTTGCTGGTGGTGAGGGGCCAGGCAGTGCCCAGACCCCCGCTGCTGCCTCTCCTCCTTTCCTGAATATTCTATTTAGCATCAGACCCTAGATTCTGTGACCAAATAAATAACTTCTATTTTGTGTGTTTGGATTGTTAATTCCTTGTCCCAGAGACCCAAGGCTCACCCTAGGACTGTGCTGAGTCCGTCTGTCTAACCCCTCCCTCTAGGCTTCACCAAAGCAATACTAACTGCGAAGCAACCTTTCTTCTCTTTCCCTTGTGCCTATGAGGGAGAAGCCAGTGCGGCTGGGGAGGCTGGTGGAAGCCAGAGGATGATGTGAGCCCGTGCTGTCCAGTATGGTAGATGCTAGTCTCATGTAGCTGTGTTTCCCAGAATTCCACACAGGTAGAAGTGTAGTTCTGTAACGCCAGCTGACGACTGCTCAGCGTACCGCAAGGCACCGATGGAGACCACCTTCACCAGCAGAGAGCTCTGCAGGCCAGGGCCGTTCTAAGGCTTCTTTCGTCTGCCTCTCAAACCTAGCACCCTTCCTGAGCTCCTGCAGTGCACTGAGCACTGTGCCAGGCTCTCAGGGCACAGAGCAGGTGACCGCTGCCCTGGGGGGTTCCCTCTAACAGAGCGTGCAGTGGTGAGGGCGCTAGCAGAAGTGGGTGTGGTGTGATGTGGGAGGATGCTTCTCTGCCCCATGAGGACTATCACACAGTGAAGGGAATGCCCACCAGATGTCTTCAAACGCTTGAGCAAAATCCTGCCTTTCCATGCATCTTGCCTCCACTTTCCATGCTCCAGCAGCTGGGTTCTAAACTGTCCCTGTACAGACTGAGGGGCCACGGCATTTCTAATCTCTTGTCCCCTGCCCGCTGTGCTTTCATGATTTTGCACTGGCTGTGCTGCTCCATCTCCAGCTCGCATGTGTCTGCAGGAAGGGCAAAGGAGAGGCCTGGTGGCTGAGTTCCTACCCTGTGTGGGCTCTCGCTCTGTGTGTGCTCACGTGACCCTCCTGGGACCCCTGCAGTCCCACCTATAGGCTTTTCACGTCCCTGAAACAGCCCTGGAAGCTTAGATGGTTTGTCTGTGCCCTCGCATCCAGGAAACACTAGGATTAAATCCTGCCCTGCCCCAAAATGTACATGCTTTGTGCCATGTCCTTCCAGAGTTCAAGTCTGATGTTGACAATCGAGCTGCCACCATCTCTGTGCAGCGTTGCTGTTCTTCCTGGCCTGCGTGCATTTTAGTCTTTGAGTGACATTTCCTCCCTCCCCCGGGGGAAGGGGTGATGCTGGCAGAGCCGAGTAATAGGTAACGGTAACACCCCAGTGCCCTGCCAGCCTTGTGTTCCGTATCCCCCCAGCCCCCAACCTGGACTGTTGGTCCCGGCGGAAGCTAGGAAGGTGGATGGCAGCCAGCCCGGCTGTCCACACGAAGCACAATTCAGGATCCTGGATGACCTGCAGTGCTTTAATGAGGGATGTGGACCCAGCCCAACTCTGGGGAGGAGGATGCCTAGCAGCTGTGGGCAGTGGCTGACCTGACCTGGCCTGTGGCGCCTCCAGCCTAGGGACGGAGCTATGGGAGCACCGCCACCAGGCTCCAGGCGGGGTGGTCAGCGGTTCCCTGGCATGGTGCTGGTGGTACGTTTCACAATTCTGGCTCCTGAGGGCACTGGGCTTCCTGGGGCCCTCCTTAGTAAGGAAATAGGTATTCCAGATCTTCAAGCTTCCGCATCTCCTCCAACCCAATGGACACGGTTTTCCGCTGGGGTTCCTTGCGCTGCACGGTGATCTGGATGGGGTTGTTCTCAGGGAAGCTGTTCAAGTCAGTGGCCACGGTTGCAAACTGAAATAAACCAAAACCCCTCAGAATTCCATCCTAGACCTGACCCCAGCTCGGCTTTTTGTCTTTGCAACCCCCTTGCTGTCTGCCAAATAGACAGCCTCACCGCCTGTTCATGGGATACCAGAAACAAGTACAAACCTGTGCCTTTCCTGTCGTGTGACGTTCCCAACCACAGGGCTGTCTGGGCCTTTCCTCCCATGCCCCTGCCCATCTCCCTTCCCTTCATTGTCCCCCTTTCGCCGTTTCCCTGTATTTCCCTCAATGCCCTTAACTTCCTGGTCCACTCACAATTATTGGTATTAAGTTGAGGAATCCCAAAAGTAATGGCTTTGGAAGTTGAACATTACAGAGATGCTGTTGAATATATTAGTTTTCATTCCCAGTGGGCCTCAGAGTGGCTTAATCCTTGAACCTCCCAGAAGGAAGCAACCTGGAATTCATGCTCATTCGCCCAGGCAGAAAGACAGCCAGCAAGAAGATGAGTTGTGAGGGCACGGGAGTGCCCCCAGCCTCCAAAACCCCTGACCTCCCAGCCCTCTTCCCCCAGGGCTCACTTTGTAGGGCTTGCACCACTTCCCCACCCCGGCTGTGTTGGCCGCACGGACAGTGAGGCAGTAACTGGTGTTGGGCTTCAGCTCCATCAGCTTGACAGTGGTGCCCAAGATCTTGTTGAAAATCCATGGGCGATTCTTTGCCTTGGGCAGCTCATTGTCATTTGTCTTGGCCACCTCCTGCAACAGGACCTGGTAGAAACTGACCTGCTGCTTGCCCGGGGCATAGGTCCAGGAAATCTAGAAGAAGAGAGCCCCACCTCAGGCTTCCTCAGACCTGCTCCAGGCTCTCCTCCCCTCACCTCCCACCCCTAGCCATGGGTCTGAATGCCTCACTCCCATCCCCTGGCCCTCCTGGGGCTGAGGCAGGTCTGATGGAAGACATTCCACGGGCCCGCAGCATTTGCTTCTCTCCTGGGCAGCCTCACCCCCACCCCCACTCCCAGGGTGTGCCACCAGCCCATATTTCTTCTAGACTAGTTGCAAGGGACCTTAGAGATCATCTTGTGCACCTCACTCCTTGCAGAGATTACAGGTTCAGAGAGGGCATGTGGCTGGCCTGTGGTCACACAGAGTGACAGAGCCAAAGTTCAAACCAGTAGTTCCAGAGCCCACATGCTCTGTGCTACAACAGTGGTTGCCAAGCCTGGCTGAGGAGCTTGGGGAGTTTTTATAACACTGCAGATTCCTGGCCCTGCTGTCTTCTCTCAGGTCTCCCGTTTCCAGTTTCTCCTCCATCTAGGCCAGTGGTTCTCAAAGTCGGGTGTGCATCAGAACCCCCTAGAGGATTGTTAAAACAGACTTGGCCCCCACAGTTTCTGATTCAGGAGGCCCAGAGTGGAAGGGGAGGGGATGAGAATTTAAATTTCAAACATGCTGCCATATGATGCTGATACTGTTGGTGGTCTGGGAGCCACACTTTAAGAGACACTGCTCATCTGGGACTTCCAGATTTATCCTCCTGAAATACAGCTCACATTGCATCCACCACTGGATATAAGGCTTTGCAAAGAGCTCTTCTCTACTGCTTATAGAAAAACCTATAAAGTAGCCTAACACTGCAAGGGCCTCCAAAAAAATGACACCAGACTAACTTCCCCCACTCTGTTCCCTGTCCTGGACTCTGGAACAGTGCTATTCAACGTGAGGCCCCTCAGCACCACCTGAGAATTTGTTAGTGGTGCATTCTCAGGCCCCACCCCAGACCTACTGAATCAGAATCTCTAGGGATGAGGCCCAGGATTCTCATTTTTAACAAGACGATTGGATCTGTCGGTGCAGAAAAGTGTGAGAGCCCTGCATTGGGACCTGGCTATTTGCTCCCTTTTCCCACCAGTGAGGCATCACTAATGTCAGCCCCTCCGTGGATTGCCATTCTCCCCATCCCTGGATGTTTAAATCCTACCTCTGTGTCCCAGCTCAAATGTTATCAAAGCCACCAAGTGTATCTCTGCACCTAGAAGTAATGTTTCTTTCCCTCTGAATTCCTGGTGGCACTTGATCTGAACCCTGCCTATAGCACTGCGCCCAATCCAGCTTGCATCAGAGTGCTTTACAGACATGGCCTCTCTCCTGTGCCAGGAGCTTGCGGTCCGGATGCAGGTGGTAGGCATCTTTGCACTCACTGTGGAGCTCAGCTCAGTGCCTGGCACACAGGGGCAGCCAGTAAGCCTGCATTTGGATGCATGAAGAGAGAAACTTACCACAGCTGTGGAATCGCTGACTGTGTGTTCACAGATGAAGGGTGCCTCCGGCACATCCATGACCACAGAGGACTCTGAGGGTGTCGAGGAGGTGTCTGTGTCCAGCTCAGGATTGTCAAGGTCCAGCAGGGCCCCAGGGGCTATTTGGGATGTTTGAAGGGGGCAGAGAGCCAGGTCCCTCTTTTGCGTGTCCCTGCCCAACGAGGAGAGGCTGAGTTTGTTCAGCTCACCCTCCAGCATCCCTGCAAAGAAGCTGCTGTTGGGCTGGGTCACAGCCAGTTTGATGGGATTCAACAAGGTGGATGAGAGTGGGGAGATGCTGGTGTCGTCAGAGCTGCATTCAGAATCCTCCACTGGCATCGGCTTCCTGAGTGGGAGGGAGACAGGTGAGCCCACTGAAGGAGCCCCCCCGTCCCAGCCACGCAGCTGGGAAGCTCCCGGAAGGCAGGCCTTGAGCCTGACTCACCGGTAACCCCAGATGCTTCTGAATAGCTCAGAACATCCTTATCACCCTGTAGCAGTGCATTCAACCCACCAGGACACTTATTGGAAAATGCAGGTTCCTGGCCCCTGCCCGACCCCCTCCGCCCCGCCTTTGGGATAGGACTGGGGAAGCTGCTAAAGTATCTTTTATAAGCTCTTCAGACCGTTCTGAGATGTGTTCTGAGGCCCACAGTTTGAGACACACTGCTAAAACCTAAAGTCCTCCTTCCACAGCAGGGTCCAAATACCCTGGGGGAATGCCCAAACCAATCTAGTGGGGTATGGAAAAATATCTAAGTACCTAAAATAAAAATAATGAAGCTTTTCTAATACTCACTTGCTACTGTTGAACTGTAATTACTAATCTACTTAGATTTTGCAAGATTTAACAGTATTTATCAATAGATAGCATGTGAGATTAATAACAGTACACATAAACATACCTATATTGGGGAAAATGCTCAAAAACCCTTTCTTCCATACTAATTTTGTTAAATTAAAAAATATTTTAGACATACACAAGATATCAAGAATAATAGATTAACATAA